TTCTGAGGTGCGTTGTTCCGTCATTAAATGCATCATTCTATTTTGGTATCTTCTTCTTCTAAACTAGTAAATACCCCGGGCATTGCCCAGGCCGTAATAATTTATAAATTATTTTAAAAAAATATTTTTAAATTAAATTAAAATAAATCATATAATTAATAAATTATTATTAAATTTAGCCGCCATCGTTGGAGAAGCACCAATGACCTATTGACCAACCATCAACGACCTATGGGTTAATAGGTTAAACAAAAATATTTAAATAATTAATAAGTTTTTTATTAATTTTATCCAAATATTAAGATAAGACGTATCATCATTAGATACAAAGTTCCCTTTCATTTGATATAAAATTGTGGTATGAAAACCACAACACAACACTTGCCAAAGAAAAACGAACAGCACATTTATATTATTTTTAGAAAAATGTAGTTTTAAGAAAAAGCCAATTTGCATCCAACCTCCTCCTTGTCAGTTTTCAGCTCTTCCTTGCTCTGCGTGCCAACCACACAGTTTTCAACCTTGCGGATCTTCACCATTACAATGACAAAATCCAATCCCTTAATCGATCCCAACACTGGATTCTGCCCCCACACTAGAACTTTCCACAGCCTCCGGCAACCCGTCCCTCTGCCTCCACCCTCTCTTCCCCTCTCCACCACCCGGTACTGCCTCTCTCTCCTCAACTCCTCCTCCACCCCTGCCACCTCCTCCACCGCCTGCATCATCAACGCCACCACCAACCAATGCCTCACCTACTCTCAATTCATCTCCCAAACTCGCTCCCTCGCATTTTCCCTCCAAAAACACTACTCCTTGTCTCCAAACGATGTGGCATTCATCATTTCCCCACCGACTATTCACGTTCTTGTGCTTTACTTCGCCCTTATGTCGTTAGGTGTCGTCATCTCTCCCGCCAACCCGCTTGCTTCCGAGTCCGAAATCGCTCACCAGGTCCAACTCTGCAAACCCGTTATCGCCTTCGCTACGTCGGAGACATCGGGAAAGCTTCCGCTTTTAAAACTTGGAACCTTCCTCGTCGACTCGCCCGAGTTTGCCTCTTTCTTGACTCTTTTCAACGTCGATAGCGACTTCCTTGACCAGGTCAACGTGAACCAGTCCGACCCGGCGGCGATTCTGTATTCCTCAGGGACTACCGGGCGAGTCAAGGGCGTGTTGCTGAGTCACCGGAATATGATCGCGTTACTTGCTGGGTTTTATCACTTGCTGCAGGAGGAAGATGGGCCAGAACCACCAAAAGAACACCCAGTTTCGTTCTTTACGGTTCCCCTGTTCCACGTATTCGGGTTCTTCATGTTTCTGAGAGTGATTTCAATGGCAGAGACGATGGTTTTGACTGAGAGATTTGACTTCGAGGGAATGCTAAGAGCGATAGAGAAGTACAGGGTCACTTACATGCCAGTCTCGCCACCATTGGTGGTCGCCTTCGTAAAATCAGATTTAACCAAAAAGTACGATCTCAGCTCGCTCCAGGTGCTCGGGTGCGGTGGTGCGCCACTTGGCAAGGAGGTCGCCGAGCGGTTCAGTGAGAAATTTCCAAATGTGGGGATTGTGCAGGTAAATTGTATCCAATCTAGCAATTAGTGTCTATTGGCTTAGAGCTGCAAAAATATTAGGCTGAAAAGCAATTACATTATCAGGAGAAAAGACTAAAATAAGTTTTCATGGACAAAAGCAAAAAGGAGAAAAGTTTTTAGTTTGAACTTTCTGAGTCATGGACAAAAGCAAACGGTTGTAAATATGAAGTAAAATAGTACCAAAATACTCTCCAGTCTCCATAATTAGAACCCACAAAATACTTGATTACTCTATGAATCTTTGGTTTGGGGTAAGGTAGAGACTCCTTTTGTCCTTCGGATCACCTTCCAGACATAACTAGGCATTTTTTCTTACATTTGGACGGTTGTATTTCAATTTTTTTGAAGCTGCTTCTTTTTCTACTACATAGCAGCATTTTCTTGTTATTTATTTATGGCAGTCTTAACCAAATTACACTGAGGTTGATGTGGTGTGGCAGTACCTGGCTGGAAACCACTCACTTTTCCTTGTAACAAAAATGCTGAATGTAATTCGATTTTATTTGTGATTTGTATCAGGGATATGGATTGACTGAGACTGGAGGGGGAGCGTCAAGACTTTTAGGGCCTGAGGAGTGGAAAAGACATGGTTCTGCAGGCCGCCTGGCTGAAAATATGGAAGCCAAGATCGTTGATCTGGTGAGTGGAGAAGCCTTGCCTCCTGGTCAGAGAGGGGAGTTATGGCTGCGAGGTCCCACTGTCATGAAAGGTAGTTATTACGACTTTCATTATTTTGACTTAGTGTTAAAGTCAGTGCTGCCAGCATTCTGCTGCTCTGGCGTGGATCCACGCAACATTTTTTCCCAACCTCCATAACTAATCCCTGACCGCACCAATAGTGTCAGGAAATTTTCTTTTTAAAATTTCTTTAGGCTCAAACTACTTTGAAGGCTTTTTTTCTTCAAAAGTAAAATGATGGTGTTGGTGCAGGTTATGTGGGAGATGAGAAGGCAACTGCTGAAACCTTGGATGCAGAAGGCTGGTTAAAAACTGGTGATATTTGTTATTTTGATTCAGAAGGGTTCCTCTATATTGTGGACAGATTGAAGGAATTGATAAAATACAAGGCCTATCAGGTGATTGAAAGTCCCTGTAAACAGTCATAAGACCATGTGCTTCCATATTGCTAACGATGTCTCTCATTATATAATATTCTGATATTCTGAAATGAATTGCAGGTTCCTCCTGCTGAGTTGGAACATTTGCTTCATTCCCATCCTGAAATTGCTGATGCTGCTGTTATTCCGTATGTATTGAGTTCTATCTTCTTTATTCTGGCTAATTTCTGTGCGTGCCAAACTTTTTAATGTATAGGATATGGCTTTACAACAATCTTTGAGAGCTAATACCTAAGTTGTAGATTGATCTGTGAATTGTTCTCCTTCACTGTACTTTTGGAACCTTTTTGTATGTCTTGCTATTGTGTTTCTGTGTACTAATTCCAACTTAGATCAGTGAGTTGGGAAGATGAATGGGAACTTAAGTTTCTTGTTTAATTAACAGCTTGTAAGTTGGTATAGAATTTCAATATGGATTGTCTTCTTCATGATAGTAATATAGCAAATATCTCAGTTCAGTGAGTTTTTTATGTGTTCTAAGTGCACTAATAGGAACTTAAATGAGTGTGGTGGAAGGCTAATGATAGTACGTGGTTTTTTTCATAATGGTTCATGACATGATATGGAACAACATAAATCATGTTCTTTTCTTCTTCATCGTCTAGCGATACCTCTTTTTGTCTAATTTATTTTACCATCTGGAAGCAGGTATCCTGACGAAGAAGCAGGGCAGATTCCCATGGGCTTTATAGTGAGAAAACCTGGAAGCAATATCACTGCAGCTCAAGTCATGGATTTCATTGCAAAACAGGCATGCTTCTAACAAACCATAGAATTATAGAAAGAGTCATTTCAAGTTCTACTGGAAATATTAAGTTGCTTCGTAGTTCAGTCATCGTGGAGTATGGTATTATTACTCGTATGTCTGCATTTGTTGCAAAAAGAAGAAAAAAAAATTAAATTAATCAACCGGTCGGTCTGTTTTCTACCTATATTTTTTCTCATATTAGGGGCATAATAATGGCACCTTAGTTTAATGGGTCCTCGCAGAATTTGTGACCACACTTTATTTCAATTATGAATTTTTAATTACTATTGAGTGCCTAATTAATTCAATGATGATTAAAATATTTGGTTTTCTTGTGTCACGTGTCCTTGACCAACTGCTTTTAAAAGAGTGTTATGGAGACCATTAAATAAAATGACTACCACGCAGGGGAATCTCTAGTTCATGTGATTTATATCATGCTAATCACCACCTGTTTCTGTGACCCCATTTTGCCATCATAACCAAAGCCTCTGCTTATATTTGTATACCTTGGAAGGTGTTCTGATGGTAGAGATGCTGGATTTTCCAGGTTGCACCATACAAGAAGATAAGGCGTGTTGCGTTTATATCTTCTATTCCAAAATCTCCAGCAGGGAAGATCTTGAGAAGAGAGCTGGTCAAAGATGCCCTCTCTGGCGCTTCTTCCAAATTATAACTGAGAGAGGATACCTCTGGAAGGGGAGAACGTGTGCAGTTGAAAACTTCATAAAGTCATCAGATACCAACTGCATGTGAATTAACATATTACCTTGAAAAGCATTCCCGTTATCCGGTGCACCATAATGAAACGACTTCTTTTAGATTTCTCAGGATTATATTTATTTCTTTTTGATCGATTTTAGATTTAGTTTTAGTTTTTATGAACAGTATGTTGATGCTCAAAAGTGTCATTGTCATTGAAGGTTTTAACCACGCAACATACAGTTTCTGTTATTTAGGGCTTGTTTGGTATAACGGTTAAAATTCAGCGGATAGCGGATAGTGGTAGCGGGTGGCAGTTAGCGGATGGCGGAAATGGGTAGCGGATGGTAAATAATGGATTCGATAAATATAACTATTTGGTTATACAATAATTAGCAGTTGTTGTTTAATATCAAATGACTAATAAGGACATGTTTAAAAACAAATAATTGTATTTTTTAAAATATTTTTATTTTTTATTATTAAA